TCGGTGCCGCGAGGGACTGAGCACTTGGTGACGCAACTATATGACGCCCGCAGTATGCGACGTCTCACATCGTGCTTCAGGAGTGCGTAAAAGACGCAAGCACTTTTCTTTTAAGCGTTGCCTGCTCGTCGCTTGATAGCAGCGAAGCAGGTATACTACCAACGCCTACCGTTGGTTTCCGAAGTCGAGCCTTCTCTCGATACCACCGCTGGTGTAGACTTTATTTTTGCTGAGCAGGTTCGTCGCCGACGCGGTGGATGTGAGCATGTCATGCATGAACGCTTGCCTTTTTTATACAAAAATATGCTCTATCTTCACGAACGCTTGCGCTGATCAACAAGCTCAATTTGAAGTATCGCCAGCATTTTTATTTTGCCTGTACGCCGTCATCGCATCACCGTTACTCGCGGCGTCACAGGTCTTCGGGCTTGCTTTTCAGCGTTGCAGCGACTCTTCCAACCGAAACTAATAGCCGTTCCACACGGGCAGCTCGAATGCCATTTACGACGAATGACATTTGAGCGGACGGCCAATCAGTGCGCGACACTCGGGGCGTAGCGCATTCCACGCGCGACAGATTGCGAGCTAATTCGCCGATCACACAAATGTCATTCGTTGTAAATGACATTCGAGTTTCCCGTTTGGCACGGCTATACATATGGCTAGGTCTACAACAGGCCGACGCTGGAACCGCCAATTTCTAAACCTATGTTACTGATAAAAAAGAAAAACAGGGCGCGGGATGAGCAAAAAAAAAACAAAACAAATTTTCCGGCAAGGCTTGTCAAATTATGACGCGCTTAAGAAAACCTTATTTCAAACTCTTTTTGTTTGTGTTCCGCCCATTAAAAAGCATGTGGGAAACGCCTCAGCACGCACCTCGTATTGCTGCGCCGCATTGCTCTTCCACAGCATAAAGGCCGTCTGCTTTCATCGCCGTCCCCATGGCAACGAACGCCGAATGACCTTTACGGACTGCGCGTTTATCACTGGGGACGTGTTAGTTCCCCCCCCCCCCCCCTCCCCCGGGCCTGCCGGCTGCTTATTACAAAACTTATAAACTATGGCTAGCAGACGGCGTTCGTAAAATGGCGTCAGCTGTTGCTGGCTTCGCGCGGCGGTACCATGCGTGCTTCCACTAATTCGGCGTTTGTTGCTATGATGACGGCGATGGAAGCAGACGGACTTTATATTGAGGAAGAACGCTGCGGCGCAGCGATACCAGGTGCGTGCTGAGGCCCCTCCCGCATGCTTTTCAGCGGGCGGAACGCGAACAAAAAGAGTTCGAAATAAAGACTTAAGGCAGAAGGCTGGTTTGCTCTATAGTGCCTCATAATTAAACGAGCCTTGCACGAAAAGCATGTTTTTAGACCGGAGTTTGGAGATTGTTTTTTTTACAACAACATGGGTATAAAGTACCAATGTGCCCAACCTGCAGCTGTCGGCGAAGTGGCATAGTACGGGGATTAGCAAGCATTCGTGGCTTAGAGCACGTGACTTCGAAACGCGATAACGTCTGATTATTTCTGTGTAGAAAACCTTTGTGCAAATACACCGTAAGTAATTGGATGTTAGGTGTTTAGCCAGTTGAAAGTTAAAATACACTAAGATGCGCCTATGGGAGGTATTCACTGGACGCCACATTTGAGGGCGACGTTTAGAGCGCATGCTCAGAACGAGCCCACGTTAATAGCCTGCTAAAACCAGCAACCTTGATGGTGCTAAATGCACACTCCAAAAGGACTGCGGAAGCTCGCCGTCAGCACGCGCTCAGCAGCAGTGCACACGGATATGGCCGCCAGTGAATATTCCCTATTGTCGTTGACGTGGTGAGAAATTTAGCACGCCGGTACGATGCTCATAAAGGTCGAGACAGGCGGCGGCGAGGTTTGAGTCGATGATTCCTGGGTTCTATAGCTCATGATTTCTCTTTGCGTTATTCTCCTGGCATGTTCAGGTTTGAAGCCAAATGTGCTAATGAACATGGGCTTGCCTCGTTCAGCATTTGGAAGAAGAATGGCCGGGCTAGAGTGGACAAGCGCGATCTCTTACGGCCTTTGCGCGCGGAGTAGTTGCTCCCTGCGGCGGCGCTGGAAGGGGTCACTGACTCGCTGTAACCCTACCGCTCCTACAGCGCTTTAATTCCTTCTAAGAGGCACTTCCTCCTCATCGTGTCGTCCTCTTTGTTGCGGGGTTTAGTTGGACACGTTTTTTGAGTGCTGATGTTTGGGTCGTTCGCGTAACTGCGGCATTGCGGCACTGGACAGTACTTTGCCATTGCTCCCTGAGATCGACAGCTGCAGAAGCCGATCCCCATGAATACTAATCAGGCTTCAGACACAAAAAAAAAAAAAAAAAATCACTAGCGAACGGTTTTTGAAGACCCCGACCAAAGCAAGGCGGAATAGCTCGCCTTATCACGTGATCCTCCATCCTAGACGTCCCGGTCAAACGATCGCAGCGCTCCAATCGGTCCCGCTAAAGGCATGTTTGAAGCGCCATCTAGATTTTTGTTTCATAACTGTGCGTTTCAAAGATTACGGTAGAACGCCATCTAGACGCTGTGCTCCGAAACGTGCGTACTCCATAGTTGCCAAAGCAGCCGTCCGGCGCGTCGAACGACGGAAGGCAAGTCGTGATGAGTGAAGGGGGCACTGCTCGCGCAAGAAGCGTCTATGACAGGGTGGAAGATAGACAGGTGGTGAAACGAGAGCCAAATGAGCGACCGGATTGTGTCCCCCTCGGTTTTCTTTTTCTGTGGCGCCATCTATGTGGAGCACCGCAAACTTTCACTCCGGGTGGGCGAGCGCTGACGACCGGTTAAACTGACGGAGAAGGTTTCTCGTGGATTTTCAATGGAGGACTGTCGTGCTCTCAGTTTATTTTGCGCACTCTCCCATAAAGTTCCATGCAAATTCGATTCCAATATTTTTATTCTCGCCGCAGCGCCATCTGTCGCAAATCGGGGGTACCCGCAAGCCACCCGCAAGCAGACGAGTACACAATCGGGTCACGGCGCTGCGGTAGGTTTCTATGGGCCGTTTCCCCACCTGTCTATCTTACACCCTGGTCTATGAGCAGTTCCGTAACGGAGCTAATCTAATAACATTCTCCTGCTCCATCCGCCATTTCTTGAAGGTTGGCGCGAGCATGCCAAAGGACTTCTTCCAAAACCGACGCGCCCCATCGCGGCGAAACACCACGCAGTGCACTCTGGGAACTAGTTGGCTGCTCAGTTTCGGTTTCGTTTGAGCAGCTTCATCTCATGCTATCACGCCGCGACCGAACGCGCCGCTTGCGTTTTCGATTATCTGACTTTTCACAAACGTACAATACACTCATTCTCGAGCGATACAAAACGAAGACCGGGGCACTTTTCTTGGTTCCCGAAACACCGGATATTATGAGTGCGTATGCAAACGTAGTAAGACGTGGCTTAGTCACCTCACCCAACGAGTGCATCTTTGAGTTCAATTTCAATAATTCCGTCTAGTACCAGTGAACTAGAACTGAAATTTGTTCACATGGAGCCTTTCACCTATTTTGTTTGCCAAACGTCCGCTTCTTGTTACTTCATTGGGCAAAAAGCAAGCCGAATTCTCACAGGAGTATCAAAGTTGAGCCCAGCGTTGACGCATGAACTTTTCAGGAAACGCAATAAATTCGACCTCGCTACTGCACAAAAGTTACTATGATGTCTTCCTCGTGTCATCATATATCTTCCACTTAAATTTTATGCTGATAGAAGATTAAGTTTTTGCAAACGCTGAGATCGGCTAGCTACGACGGAGGCCCTAACAAGCGTCCCCTACTCCTCACTAAGCCTTTTTGGACGAGCTTTTACTGACGCCCAAGATCTGTGCCTGAACGGTGTTTCTGAAATTATCTCGACATACTCAGGCAGGAAGAAAGCAAACACATAACAAATATTATGGCCATTAGCAACTGTCAAACGCGCTTTGAATAATTTCGTTTGTTTGGCGCACCGCATAGGGGTTCTTGCCCGTCCGGCGCACTCCCGGCGAACGGTGCGACATTCTTCACAGAAGTGCTCGACCTTTGCTTTCTAAAAATGGTCTGTATGTGCGAATGTGCCTATATGATTGCAGGATAACTTTATGCGCATACGCCATGTTGAACATTAGTGGAATGCAAGCGGGTGGGGACCTCACTTCGTGCAGTGCTGCGGGTCAGTACAGATAAGAGATTAGAAGTGTGTTAAAATTGAGCTTTTCAATGGCGCCTCCGAGTTTTACCTCGCGTACTCAGGCGTATTAAGAAAAACAGTAATTGCAAAAAGTGATTTTTCGTCTATGGACGCACGAAACAAACAAACTTCCTGATCAACAACACTAATGTAAAGGCGCGAGCTCGATGTATACATACTTATTGGTTGCTACAGCTTATTGGTTCGTACATATATGCAAGATCCCCGAGCTTCTCAGCGTCGAGATTCCCAGCACTGGCTCGTCTACATACCTCGATTGGAACGCTAACAGAAAGGCTCAAGTACAAAAATACAACAAGCATGAGTTAAGACAAACTATACGTCGCGGGCTTGTCTAAGCTTCAAGGTCTGGCCATTTATTTTATAGTTTAGAGACCACAAATGACGCTCTCGGGACCAGAAAACATGAGATAACGGCCGTTAATAGTCCACGCTCTGTGTATAATCTTTTGTCGACGTGTCAATCGAAACCGAAACCATGCCACCCTCCTCCCTCGCTGGCCAACTAGTTCCCAGAGCGCAACGCGCGCCGTGTTGCATGTAGGGCTTTATGGAAGTAGTCTATTGTGTCAGCGAATCGGTTGGCGATGAACCGCTCGCCTCGAAACGAGTTACAAAAACTACCCAATGAAACGAAAACCACCAACACAAAAAAGTGGCTTAATTGTATTTTTGAGCTGACAGATATTTAGTGGCAGTCAGTGCAGTCATTCTGTAAAATGCATAATTTTATTATACAGAGATTTCTTGAAATATCCGAAGTGTTGTATTTTCAAATTTCGTACGTTACTCCCCACCGATCTGGGTCGTGAAGGACGCGGGCTTCAGGTGGCATTCCCACAATCTCGATCCGGCCTTCTTCGGGCGTCTTGAGGGGAGACATCTTCCGCACGTAGTCCACAAACGCTTCGTAATCCACGACACCTGGGAACAGGAAGTTGGCGTTGGTAGGAATAATTGCCACAAACAATCGTTCCATACCGTGTATCTCATAATTTACGCAGTTCTCATTGCCACGCCGTTTTTATTCTCGCGGTCGGATCTGCTTTAGGTGGATATCCTGATGTCACAAGCCATTAATATCAATTCTATGTCCACGACCTATATCAAATACGCGATCTGACATCGGAGAAATCTGCTCGCGCATAAAAAAGTTGAACATTCTAGAGAACAAAAGCACAGCGCATAAATAAATCACTATTTATAACTCCAGGGATCTACAGTGGTCGACACACTCGGAAAATATAGCGGCCCAAAACCGGTCTTGCCTTGCCCTGTGCCGGCCAGCTCAATGCACAACGGTGGGGTTGAAGCAGGCAAGCGTCGATTTCGAAACTGTTGGCCCCGATTTTTATCCACAGCGTTTAAAACCAGCAACGATATGTTGGCGCACGTGAGCTTCAAGGCGCTTAGGTCTCTTCGTAGAAGGAATAGAAGGATTACCCACAGTTCTAACGCGCTGATGAACTTTGATTAATGCGCAATTTCTGGTTTTACACGATTGCGTAGGCTCCGTTCAGACCGACGTAGGCGAAATACAGTTACAATAGTAATGACAGGACCGGGACAACTATTCGCACAATACGAGAAGCAATGCAAAACGCACCTAATTCGTTAGGCCATTATGAGTCACGTATGTCCCGGCGGCCCTGTCGTTGTTGCCGTTTTTGTTGCTGCGCACTCAACCAACGTAATTCCCCTCGCTTTACTTCGGTGACCATCCCGCCAATCCCCTACTACATACAATGATGGAAGCCACAAAAGGCGAACAGAAATCGCGACGGGACCTGTTCTGGCCAGTTGAGTGTTTTCCCGCTAGGTGCTACTAGGTGCCGTCTATTTTTGCAAGAGTCGCGAATACTCTGTTGCAGATTAAGCCCAACTGCAGTCACCGCTAATATTCGATGGAGTATATTAAACATAGCCAAAAAGTGCACTGTCATTGCGCTCTCTTTTGTGCGCTCGCTCTCACCGGCTAAACCAACCGCACACGCGCACAGAAAAAAAAGAAGAAAAATCGCAGCAGTACGTCGCATTCACTGCGTAATATTAGATGCAAAAAGATGGCGAGCACACCAGCACAATGACGGTGCACTTTTTGTCGCTGCTTGATTGTCGCCCATCGGATCATCGTAGGGTTGGCTGCGGTGTGACTCAATGTGAAACAGAGTACGGTAGGAGACGACAGGGCATGAGCTACATGCTATGTTATATTGTTTCATTTAATTTTATTTTATATATCTAGGTCTAGGACATCCTATGCGGGTGTATTACGAGACCAAGGATTCGTATAAAACAAAAAAGAACCATCGTTCATACTAAGGTCACAGGAAATAGAAACATTGTCTAAAAGAGCAGGTAGGACAGAATTCTCAAAACTTTAAAATGCACACGCCACTTCCATAAAGTAAATCTTGAATGTTTTTCTTAATCAGCTCTGCGTTTTGTTCAAATGCCAAAAAATTTGACGGCTGCGTTGCTGTGCATATGCAGTCTGCTCTTTTTATTTTACTTGATTATGCTTAAATACATAGGGTGGTCCAAGTCACCAGGCTTGATCTAAAACGGACCGTAAAAATCTACGCCTGCACGTAGCAATCTAAACTTTTCGTCAAAGGTGTATTTCACAGGTCGGATTTTTCTTGTAAAATTACGAAGCGTAGTTTTTTTTTTTTTTTTTGTAAAAAAAGGCCATGAAACTTGCCTGGGTCAACGGCGGGCGGCGACGCAGAAAACCAAGTCGAGGTGCGGGGTATGTTTGACGCTCGTATTGATAGATGGCGCTACTTCCTTGTTTTGGTCAGAGCTTTAGTTTCGGTTTGCTTTTAAAGAAATATTGAAAGAGCCCGCTTCGAGCGTGGTTTAATAACACAAATATAATCTTTTTTGTAATCTACCTTTGGCTTGAAAATAAATGCAGAAAATGATAGCAAAACTTTAAGTAACAAAAATAAAAAAAAATAAAAAAACACGGTTGCATAACATCTGCGTGTCGTCTGCTTCCTTTCGCTGGTCGGTTGCATCCTCCGACGCTGCTTCCGAGACCTTTTTTGTCGCGGTTGGTGGGAAAACAGCCACAATTCGTCTGTCTGGACGCTACTTGGACCGCACGTTTGAGACATGGGAGGCTACCTAAGCAAACTCGAGATAAACAGCAATTAATGGCTCTGAAAAGAGCCTGTCGGCAGAAGCCCGCGGTTTTCTCGGTTGTAAAAGCCGCTGGCCATATGTGCAAAATGGTTAGATATGTGCTCTTCAGTCCACGTGTAAACCTCGAAGTTTGAGGCACTTGTGCAGTCTTCGCTCATAATCCCTGAAGGCTGCCTCCCGCATGTTGTCTGTGATCGTATCGAAGGCGCATAGAATTAGCTCTTTTAGTTCCGTCATCGTGCGCAAGCGAATTGTGTAGACCTGGGCTTTTACAAAAACCCAAACACACACACACAAACACACACACAAAAGATTACAAATTGTCAGGTCGGAGGACAGTGGGGGCCAGGGCATTGTCGGTGACCCTCGACCCATCCAGTTGTCGGGAAAGGTCCTGTCAAGCCAGCCTCTCACTGCGGTGGCGTAATGCGGGGTGCTCCGTCTTGCTGGACGATGCACACCTCCCTTTGCATGTGCGAAGCTTCCAGCTCCGGGAGGACGTCGTGTTCGGGCATGCGAAGGTAGGTGTAGCCGGTGCCCGTGCCCTCAAAGAAAAATGGACCGACAACGCCTTCCCTCCAAAGTCCACACCATACTACGACCTCTGGTGACTGGACAGCCTCTTCAATGATCAATTGGGGGTTTGTCTCGGACTAGCAGTGGGTGTTTTGCTTGTTCACGTGCCCATCCAATGGAAAATAGCTTCGTCCGTGAAAAGCAGAAACGGAAGGTGGTTCCTGTTTGTGGAGATGCGCCCAAGTTCGTCCACTGCAGAACTGCTTTCGCCGCTCATAGTCATGTGGCTGCAGCTCGAACAGGACCTGTGGCTTGAAATGATACATTTGTTGGCGGATCACCCTCCATACGAAAATTTTACAGATACCAAGTTGTCTTGCGACTTATCGCATGGACAGCCGTGGGTTCAATGCAAATGCCGCAAGCACGGCGTGACGTTTGCTCTGCTGTGGCGGCCTCTCTTCGAGTACTCGCAGCCTGGTCTGCACAGTGTTCTCCGTGTTGAATCGGTGTACCCAGCGCATGACAGTCCGACGAGTGGCCTATGAAAAGTGGCTCGAAACTTCGAGCCCACTTGCCTCATGCTCCTGGTTTCTGTAAACCAAAGGCCTACCTGTGCCCTCTCTTGGATGGTCAGGTGACGCATTGTGACTGTTTTCCCACCAACCGCGACAAAAAGGGTCTCGGAAACAGTGTCGGAGGATGCAACCGACCAGCGAAAGGAAGCAGACGATGCGCAGACGAAATCCGCCGCCAGCAAGAGCGCCGTCAGCGCCGTCGTTATGCAACCGCGTTTTCTTTTATTTTGGTTACTTGAAGTTTTGCTATCACTGTCTGCATTTATTTTCAAGCCAAAGGTAGATTACAATAAAGATTATGTTCGTGTTAATAAACCACGGTAGACGCGGGCCCTTTCAATATTTCTTTAAAAGCAAACCGAAACCAGAGCTCTGACTGAAACCTGACTTGTTGTATTGTATTGTATTTATGTGGCGATTCCCTTTGAATCGGGCGTCTACTAAATAGACACGCCAAAAAAAATTAATAAAAAAGTAAAAAAAGGTTAGAAAGCGGAGTGTATTTACTAGTTTCAACAATGTACTGCCCACCAGGCCTCGAGTCTCCGCTTCGAGCACTGCACATACGTGTTCTCCTCGGTAAACCCGAGGGCTTGCTCGATGCGAGCGCTGACGTCTGCTGCCGGTGCGAGTGCCGGACACTCAAGTACCAAGTGGTGTATAGTTTCTTCCACTTCCCCACAAGCACTGCATAGGGTGTCGGTCACGTTGCTGTCGTATTTTCGTCGATAGAGGCGGGTACGCAAGGCGCCCCCTCGGGCCTCAGCGAGGAGCCTGCTGCCCACCGTATTACCACACCAGAGGATTGGAGCAATGGTGGTCTTGAAAGACGCGTAAAGGTGCATGCTTGAGTGTTCTTGCATGTCTGCTCTCCACCGGTTCACCTCGACGGTCTTAATTTTCTCTCTCACCTTGGCAACCCACTCTTTCTTTGTCGGAGGCTCGTCGGACATTGAGAAAGCCCCGTATTTCGTGCCCAGTCGGATGGTACGGCGTCTCCATGTTGTGTGCACGCCTCTTAGGTGAATGTACACGAAAATCCGCCGTGCCCAGCGATCTCCATTCATGTGTCGCAATCGGGCGTAGTATTCCAACTTGCTGCTGGCCTCCCGTGCCTCAAAGGAGGACCAGCCAAGGTCTCCTTGGACCAGTTCGTTTGCGACTCTTCCATGGCATCCGAGTGCCTGACGTCCGATCTCCCTTTGGCGCCGCTCAAGGTATTCTCGGATCTCGCTGGGGGCACATGTAACGGCATTGGCGAAAGTCAAGCCTGGCACAGTGACAGCTTTCCAAAGTTCACGGGTTAATACATACCGATCGCAGCACCAAAGGCTCTTTCGACGTAGCACATTTCGCTTCCTCAGCGCTGACGCCTTGAGAATTTCATGGTGCTCTGCTAGGTAGTCTTCTGCACTGGTCAGGGTCACTCCAAGGTATCTGTAGCGGCTACTAACAGGAAGCGCAGTGTTCTGGATGGTGAGAGATTCAAGGCCCTCGCCCTGCCCGGAGAAAAGCACCACGGCCGACTTGTTGGCATTGAATTGCAGTCGAAGCCGAGCCGCTTCCGCTTCGCAGGCGATCAGCAGTTTCTTCATATCTGAGACGGTGTCGGCCATCAGTACTAGATCATCCGCGAAAGCGAGCCCGGGGAGCCGCCATTCAACCATGTCTCCGTGTTGC